ATTTTAAGGGGGATATATATAGGTTATATGGTCCCCGGTATTGGAGTGTCTCTCTCTCCTGGCGGGTGAATGCGAAATGCGAATGCATTTCAATAATTTGCCGTCGAGGGGCCGTCGCTTAGAAATTATTATAAATTTTGTTCTATCCCCCAATGTACTGCCCCCTCCCCCCTCCTCCCCATCCACCCCCTCTTTATCCCCCCCTTTGCGACTTTTGTTGTTGCTGCCTTGCCATTATCGTTGCCTTGCTGCTGGCTTTGTTTTTGTTCTGCTTCAATAATAATTTTGACCCACTTTTGCGCTCGACTTGACTTTTTATTGTACTGAAATTAAGTATTATTTTTTTTCTTCTGTATTTTTTTCGTTTTTCTTCTTTATTTTTTTGTGAGCTGTTCTGCTCGGCTCTCGGCGTATATTTTTGAGGGCAAGACAAACAGTCGCTCATAATAATATTTGTACATAGTCTTGCCAGCAGCAGTGGAAAACAAAGCTAAACACAAAAAGCTGGAAAAAAAACAACTGGCAAATATTTTTCAAGACTCGGCTAATTGCCGCTGTCAGCCAACTTGGATTTGAATTCAGCTTTTCCACCACCACCACCACCACACACCATTTTCCCCCTTCTGCTGCTGCTGTTGTTGTTTTTCTTTGTCGTGCGCTTTTCCCCAGTTGTTATTGCTAATTTCTTGACGTCACCTCAGAAGTGGCTTTCGTCACTGGAATTTTCTGCCAAAGGGTAGCCAGCTTAAACGCTTCTCAGCCAATTTGCATTGGAAATCGCTGGCGAATCGATACCATGACTAATGCATTACTTAAAGCCAAAGTCGAGTTTGCTTAATTGACTTTGAGACATATTTTCCTCAGTTTTTCCCTGTGTCTAGAACTTGTTGAATAATTATTTACAACTTGTTTTTGTTGTTCTCAATTTGTTGTGTATTTTTTGTTGATTTCATTCTTGTCGTTTTTTTTTGTTTTTTTTTTTTGTTTTGCAACGGTAAACTTGTTTGTAAATTATTTTTATTATTATTATTGTTGTTGTTGTTGTTTTTGTTGTTGGGGGCTGTGTGTTTTAGTGCTGTTCTTTTGCTTTTCTTTGCACACTGCCAGTTTTCCCATATTGTTTGTTTTTGCAATAAACAACAGTGGCGAATGCAACTGAAGGGGGGAGGGGAGGGGTGGAAAGGGGGTACTTTGCTCCCCCGGCGGCGGTTGCTGTTGTTAATCATTGCAATTACAACAGCAGCAGCAGCAACAGCAACAGCAACAACAATAGCAGCAACAACAATGGGGCAAACTATAACTGAGTAACCTGGCCAATTGACGCTTACACGCTTTCATTAGACAAACGACCCCAGCGGTGGGTGGTGGGGGGTGTTTTTCATATGGACGGGGTCTGCGTCCACTCGAGCGTTAAAAATTAGCACTGACGCAACGCATTCGCCGCGTAAATTGACATTTACGCGATAATTACGCGCTTATTATATTTATTACCACTTTTTTTCCGCATTTAATTCGTTTCCATTTTTTTTCCTCCTCGCGCTCCATTCTGTTCTTGTTTTTTTCATGATTATTTTTTTTTGCCTGCTGTATCATTATGCGTTCTTTGTCTGTCAACTGCAATTGCACTGCCATAAAATGGCTGGTAATGAAAGGTTGCGGATGGGCTACTTGAGTATCAAAGATGATTTGCTGTTGGATTTTCCCCGACAGCTGGAGTTTTCCAAGATTGTAGCTAAGTAAAAGGTTTTCCTGGCAACAGCTTACGAGTTGTCGTCAATTATTCAGAGGAAAATGTTCTGATATCGGATCGGTTGCTAAGCTCACTGAATGAGTGAGAGTTAAATGCAATAAAACTAAGTTCTTAAGCGTTTTCTTATTTTTGCAAATTAACTTGAATAGTTAGCTAAGGTTTTCAGATAAAGAGAATAATTTTCCTGGCAGGCAACTATTATATCAAACCAATCGTTGCTTTCTGCGTCTGACAACCGGCAAAAGGTAAATATTATTTAAGCAACGACTTGTTTACCCGGCGAACTGGCAAATGGGGAAAAATAGTAAATAGTGAGAAAAATAAAGAACTGTTTACTCAAACTATCAGATCGGTTGCTAAACTATGTAAATTAATAACAATAAAAAGAAACGCATTAAAAACCGAATTCCGTAAGCGAGAAAAGCACATTTGAGATTAGCGTTTCTAAGGGGGTGAGGCAGTGGCGGGGCAAAGGGGGGTTTATAAGCGAGGGGGGCATTTGATATTACGTCGCATTACGCGAGAAGCGCGTGTCGCTCGGTGGGCGGCAGCGGAGAGGGGGCGGGGCAGCAAAGGGGGATGGGGGAGCGGTTCCGTGCAAGGTGAACGAGTTGTTATCATTACACGTGTGTGTGAGTGCCGTCTCTTTCGCTCTCCAGATGGCATATCAAAACATAAAGAATATGGCGACGATAGACACTCGCACACACTCACACACACACACACCCAATCACACGCACACAATCTCCAATTCGCGAGAGCTTTGTGCTTACAGCTTATTTGCGTATCTGTGTGCGATGGGGAAAAATACTTCCGCATTCGCAGGCGAGTTTCGAAACAATAACAAATAACAAAAAAAAATAAAGCCCGGGCGATGATAAACTAACTGAAATTGCGGCAGAAACCCGGCACAAAGCCGGCAAATATTCCGCTCGGGATTCGGTTTCACAGCTTCAGCAGGGTGTCTGTGTCCCCCTCCCGTTTGTGCCACATGCCACATCGCGCACTCGCTGCCATTGTAATTAATTAAATTAAACTGGCCCACCGACTCGCGCTGAACTCAATTGAATTTTATTTGAATTTTATTACAGCCAGCGATACAATGGAACAGAAAACAGCAGTGAAGCGAGTGTTTTTTGACTTTGCAGTTGCTCTCTTGCCGGCGACAACAGCAACAGGAGCAACAGCAAAAAAACTCCAGCAACTGCAACCCTAGAAGCAACATGAACTACAACTGCAGTGGCAACAACTATTGCAACACCAGCGGCAAAAGTTGCAAGTACAGCAACAACAGAAACATACGGAGTAGCAACAACCACCCTAGAAGCAACACAAACTACAATAGCAGCAGTCAAAATAACAGCAGCAACAATTGCAACATATGCGGCAAGAATTGCAAGTACAGCAGCAACATTGCCGCCTGTCTTTAGTTGTAGTTTTTCCAGCTGTTTTTTGTTTCGACTTTGGCTCGTCGGCTGGCATTTGCGACGCAATTGAAGTGCCACCCCCTCCGAAAGCGGCCCCCTCTACCCCCTGTCCCCCTTTTTTGCCCCACACCCCTTGTGACTGGACATGACGCGCCATATTTTGCCGCCTGCCTGCGCTTTTTGTTTTCAGTTTTCAGTTGCCTCCTTTTGCTTTTCCTCTTTTTTTTGCTTTCTTTATTTTGATTATTATTGTTATTATTTTTATTATCAATTGAGAACGTGGCCGGCATTCAGCGAACACACTGCTGATGGTTGTTGTTGTTGTTGGTGCTGCCTTTTGCACACTTGACTAATAGTTTCGACTGCGGCGCGCGAGGCTTATCAATTGAAATTGAAATGGAATACGCAACCATCAGTGGCGAGTGTCAATCGCTCCAATTTTGCAAGTCGCAAACTTAATGCTCTGCAGTTGTCGAGATATTAATGGGGCTAAGTGACAAGCTGAAATATTTTAATATCACTAATAGATAGGCGAAGCTTTTCGGAGAACTGATATCGCACTGAAGACAACTATTTAAATTCTTGGAAGTGTTTAAGGTGGGTAGAATAAAAATAAAATAAATAAAAATACATAATTTATCAGGCAAAAATAGTTACTTTTAAATCAAAAGTTCTTTTTTCTACAGCTTTTTCTTCTGAATTAAGAGCCTCTGTTTCGATTAGAGCGTTAAGTTGGACTATGAAACCCGGCGCGACTGTTTGCCTTCGTAATCAAATGTTAGTGTTTTGTATTTTGTATTTTTTTTGTTTTTTTTTCGTCGCCGCCGTCTTTAAGTTCGGCGTAGTCGTCGCGACGAAAAAATTTGAATTATTTTGCAATCAGCTGTCCGCCCGGCGAAGGGAGCATTCAAAAGGGGCACCCAAAGAAAAGAAGGGAGGGGATTGCGGGGGCGTTTGGGAACTCTTTATGTAAGTGCAGTTAAAGCGGCGTCTATGCTAAACAGATGGGCGTGGCCGGTCGAGGGCGCAGCTGGCCGACAAGACGGAGACACACAACGTTTTATTATAGATATTATAGTACATGGATCGGACGATGTCCGTGACTTGGTGGCCGGTTCCGCTAATTTGTCGCCACTTATAAATTATTGATATGGCCCAGTCTCCACAGACGCCAATCGTTGCATATTTATGCAAAAGCCAGCCAAAGTCGAAAACACAAGACGAACGAATAAAATGCGAATAAAAACCGGGTACGACCGGCAAAAGTAGAGGGGTATATATAGTATAATGGTTTTCTTACATAGGTAGAGACCAAAACAGATACCCAAGTAAGGCTACAGATACACAATATTCTGGCTAGCCAGTTGACTTGGGTGCAATTTTCTTACAATTTAGGCCGAACAATTTTCGAAAGGCTTATCAAGTTCATAAGTTTAATTAAAATGTTTTTGAAACTCGTTTTTATCTATGCAATGACTTGAAATAATTTTAATCAAAGGAACCTAGTTCGTAATCTTTGTTTCTGTTTTAGGATGACTCTGCAAAGTTTTTGTTTTGAAATTTATTGAGGTTGTGTTTTGATAATAAAATTAAATTATTTTTCTGTTCCGTTAATATAAAGAACTCTCAAAATTCTCAACGGTCTTAGCTAATAATCAAATGTCTTGGGGATACGGTATTAAATTACTTATTTGTTGGTTATTTAGAAACACTTAAAGGCCGGTTAATAGTTAACCTTTGATTTTTACGAGGACATGGCTCCAAAACACTGTAATTTCTGTGCAACTATGGGCATTTTATGGGTAATTTGATGGGGTACTCACTTGTGCTGCGCCGCCAGCTGCGATGGCACCTCAATACTGTGTGTGGTGTTTCGGCGGCGTTCGCCACTCATGTCGGCGAGTCTGGCGAAGTCCGTGTCGCGATCCTGGTCAGCCAGGCGGGCGGAGCGTCGCGATTCCAGCAGACGCACTTCCTCCAGGCGCTTCTTCAGCTCAATGGGTTCCTGAAAGTGCGGGAAAGCACAATGGTCGGGTTAGTCAGGCTTTTCTTATCGCCACGATGCCAGCAAAGAAGAAGAAGTGAGTGAGTGAGTCACTCGCCCAAACAATTAAAGCGCACAGAAACTTTATTGAGCATCCCATTAAAAATTAATGACCCAGTGTGGGCACTTTAAAGCGATTCCTAATTGAGCAAACGGCGACATGGAACACATATTCCTGTGGGTATATCTGCATCTAACATTGTTGCATCCGTCACGCAAGGCGAATTTTTTTCTAAATAATAATATCTATTCCGCGGCAGGTTTCCCTGGAAATCTGATTTGATAAAAGGCAAAATGGTGGTGTAACTGCTTCCGAGAAGTGAAACCCAATTAAATTATAGTTCACAGGGCGAACTTCGGAACAAAAAACAAAAAACAAAAGTGGAATTAAATTGAGTGATTCAAGGTTAATTACAGACCACCGTAAGACCTCCTTGTATATATTTCTACATTCACCAGCTGAGTATGCAAAAAAAAAAAAAAGAGAAAAAAAAATAACAAAAAACTTTCGACGCGCGTGGGCGCTAATTGAGAAACCAAGTAAACTGCAGTATCTATGGGATAATTATTGTTTTTTTGGTGCCGCCGGGGGCAACCTTGAACGAGGTCACTTGGTAACAGTTGCGATATAGCCATATCCTTATGCAATCACCTTTTCGCGTATTTTCAAGATCTCGCCGCTCAGCAATTGATTGTGACACTTATTATGCCAAACATCTGCATTCAGTTATTTGTATATTGTATATTTATTTATAAACTATTGCTTCTGCTCTCTTTGTTTCCTCTATGTATATTGCACTACTGCACCATAACGAACCGCAGCGAAATTGAATAAAACGAGTAAGGTGAGTGTATTATTGGGTTTTCTTTTTTTCGTTTTTTTTTTTTTTTTTGCTTCACGATTTATTATGGCCGATCCACTGGGTGTGTAGGGCTTTATATTCGATACACCGATGCCGCAGTAACGAATTTGGTTTTTTATTCGCGTCTGGCAATTTGTTGAATGTGCGTTAATTGGGCACAAAAAGCCGGCCGGCAGCGTTGGCGGCTATAACGGTATTCGGGGGCAAATACGTCAGCGGGCGCGTATCTGACGGATACGCCGCACGCACATTTACAGGCACACTCACTCACGCACACTCACACTCTCTCGCAGTCGGCGCGTGTTTATTTTTAATTATTCAAATTTTCGCTTGATCTTCTTTATGCTTTCTTGCCTGAATTTGGGCCAGTAGGCCTCGTTCCTAATTTGTTTTTATTCGCTTCAAGTTTGGAAGTAAAACTTCAAACTCCGTACTCCGCAATCCACACTCCACGCGGCTCACTTCACTTGCACTTTTCGGCTGCCCGGGGCTTTTCCTCGTCGGCGTGTTATGGGGGAAAACTCTCGGCTTGCGATTTTCGGTGTTGCGAATAATGGTTTGCGAATAATTTGTATCTTTGTATCTGCGGTCTGTGGTGCGAAAGGTTCGCGCGCGCTTTCAAGAATGATTCTGTGTGCGGTGCGCTGGGCATTTTCACCGACTTCGGGTCGAGTCGGCTCACTTCGCGACTTGCACTCGGCTCGCTCTTGGCTCTCTCGCGACTGCGCTCTCTCTCTCGCCCGCGCCGCCATTTGGCATTGGCCATTTTCCGGTTTCTCACGACGTTTGTTTTTGTTTCTCTGCTTTGTGCTCGCTTTTCGCATGCTTTGCCGATTTGTTTATGTATCTTAATCTCTGCCGCACTGCGCCGCCGCGCTCTCTTTCACTCGAACGGCGGGAGAAAATCACTCGGCCGCCGCTTCTTGCTCTCTCCCCCGCGAAAAAGAGCGGATTTACGTAACGTAACTCAAAGATACAAGTGATATCGCCAGTATCTTTGAGCTTTTCCACAGGTATCGCCAAGCAGACAAACAAAAAACTGGCTCTGCACAATAGTCTTTCTTTCCTCGCCGATCTCCGTTTGATTTAAGAGCCATTAACTTTGACTTAAGAGAAATATCTTTTGGTTTATAACACCGCCAGCGATGACGAAAGCGATTCTTCTTTTCCCCCTTCGTTTCCACCGCCTTTTTTTATTCTGTTTACTGTTTTCTGTTTGCTGGCTTGCGCTTTTTGAGCTCAGCTCATGCTGGGATTTTTACACTTCGCCGGGGATTTTCGCTGGGTTTAGGACTTAATGCCATCATCTTTATGCGCTGTTTATGGCGGACATACTAAAACTTGATGAAGCACTGCTCATTTAGCTTAGAGGAGCGGTGGTGTTTCTGCCATAGAGCCAAACTCGTCCAGCTCGAAGCACTTTTTCCACATAAAAAAAGATCTGCTAAGATTTAAATTTTTCAAGAAGCAGTATTCCTCATCTAATAAATCGCTCACAAGATACAGCTCACAAGATACAACTAAATAAATTGCCTTTCTAACAAGAAAATTAAGATGTACAAAAATGTCGTAAAACTATAAAACTTAATTATTAAAACGGTATTCTTTTAAATTGAATCATCAAATGCTTGAAACAAGTGATAACCCTTTGAAATTACTTAGAAAATCAAAAAAAAACTTTGCAATATGATAAATAATTATTCACAGAGAAGATGATTCTGAGGAAAAGTTTTCATAGTGGGTTAATCCCAATTCTGGGTATTGAGTAAGGTCTTTCCTTATCAAAGAAAAGCTCTGGCTTAAATTCCACAGAATGATTTGTTTGCCCGGCAGTCTGGTGGTCGGAACCTTATAGCAACAGTAACAACAAGTGGTTCCCACAACCAGTTCTGGGTTATCGGGTCTTCTGCTCAAGTGAAAGTGGAAACTTGTTTGTCATTCGCCACAAGACGGAGATTAAGCGTCGCGAAGACCCCAATTTTTAATTTTAAGCGAAACCAAAATATTTGGTCAGAGAGTGAAATGCGGTTCTCGAATAGCCAGTTTCGTCCGATTATGCTGCTGACCAACAGAGCTGATAGCCCACATGTGATAGCCAGTTATCTGGGACACCCTTTGGCCTTGCTACCTCGCCGCAAGACAGAAAAAATTCAAGAAACAACAACAAAAAAAAACAACAACTAAGTAAACAACAAAAGTGGGCAAAACCGCGCCCGCAGTTTCAGCCTGGGAATACCGCCCGGGGTTTCGACGATTACGCTCCTCGTTCCGCCGCAGACAGAGTCATATGTTTGTGCACTGATAAGGGGTTGCGATAAGGATGACCAGACCGCAGGGGCGGGACACCAACGGGGGGCAATTACGCTGAATAAACAACGATCGGAAGATGCGGCACATGACTTATTTTTTTTTATTTTACTGCCTGCGCGCATGCGCTGAAAAATCTGTCACTCCGCTTCCGATTAGCCTTATTATAATTATGTTTATCTGGCAAACGTGTCGAACTTCCCCTTCGATCACTTTGAAATGCGTGAACGCGTGCCGAAAAACCTGAGGAGCATGCGAATTCTCGCAAAGTCGTAAATATTCTCCACTTGCCTTCGGTGGCGAAATGAGTCGAAATGAGCTCGGATTTTGGCAATCCGATCGATCCGTGATTCGCAATTCGAATTCGATTGGGGTCTCTCGTCTGGCAGTCACAGAATGTGTCGGAAGTGGAGCTAATTATGGGCCATCGATTGCGGGATAGCTAAATATTTGCACAGCCATGGAGTGGCAAAAAAAATATTTGCATAAAAATAAGTCGGTTAGTTTATCATAGCTGTAAAAAATCAGGTAAAAACTGGGCCAATTATGGAGTATCTTTGGCTGAACAAACAAATTACCGCTTTGTAATTGAGTTTTGCAAATATTTTCTTGGCATTGGAGTTCTGCTAATAGTTGCATAATTATTAATTAAACAAGTCGTGATACTTTGAAATGATGTTAAACAAAGAAACTGACCCAAAACGATAATTTGTAGCCATGGAAAATCTAATATTATAATTCCACCCGTATGCATTCATAGTTTGAAATGCAATGTTAACTAATAATGAATCAGAATTCCAGGAAAAGCAGATATTTCCTAGTTTCTTGACCTATTCAAAGCAAGGACAATAGTATAAAAACGCATTATGGAAAACACACGAGTCTCCACTTACTGTCCAATTAATTTATGGCCTTCAATGGCAGCACCCCTGCTGCCAGCCGACGACTTCTGCCCATAACTTTGATCGCTCGCTGCCCCGATGATCGTGCACCCCCTGGTTGCATTAATGGAAAAGTGCACCCCCCGCACAGTGGACACCCCCCACCGCCAACTGGCTACCGCCATTGACAGCCAGTTAAACCCAATTAAAGGCTATCTTTATCCGTATCTGTAGCTGTATCTCTATCTGCAACTGCATCTGCATGTGTATCGACGAGTATCTGCGGACTGGGGAGCAAATTGCCGTATCCATGACAGGCGCACTCCGGAGTTTGTTTTTCCGCTTGCCTCATTTGCCTTTTTGTTTGTTTGGTTTGACTAGCCCATGTTGCTGCCAGCCAGCCAGTCAGCCAGCCAGCCAGCAAACTCTGGCCCAGAAGGTTGCTGCAGCTAATTGCCCATTACCTTGGGCCGAGGCAATTTTTATTTGAGCTAACTGCAGCAAGTCAAAGACTTTCAAATGCCAGTCGACCGAATGAGCGAGCGTTGTGTTGTCTGTTGCCAGCTGCCGCCAATGACGACGTCGTCTTGTGCAATTATCTCCCCTGCACTGGAAACTATTTCCTGGGGATTCACTTTCCCTTCACAACATGACTAATAAGGTACAAAGATTGGTTATCTTTATGGTCAAAATAAAGGAATATTTACTTGAATTTATACGCCCCATAAACTACTTTTTTATAGTAGTAAATCGAGTTATAATTCAGATTGAACACAAAGAACCCTACATGAAATGATTAATACTTAAGGGACAAAATATCCGTTGATCTTAAAAACTTGTATCTACACTTTTAAGCTTCTTAGAACTGTATAAACTTAGAACTTTGCTTCTTCCAGGGCTTTACTTTTTT